AGACTAAACCTGCCTGGAAAGTCAAACCACCACCACCACTACCTCCCCTCTGCCTCCAAGGGCCCTTGTAATAACAGCACCCCACCCTAGGTGACCAAGTTTGCTTCTAGCCTCAGCAGTTCAGAATTACAGCCCTGGTAGAAACCCCTTTGTCAGACAGTTAAACATTAGCATTCGTTAAGCACCTAAGTACTGGGGAAACAAAGAAGTCTGCAGATAATCCATGATATCAAGGATCTCACAGAATAATGGGCTGTCTCTGCAGGTACTACAGTTCCTACTTTCTATGTCCTTCACACTGTCCAAAACAGCTTTATCAATGGAAATGACACTAAAGAAGATGCATTGCCACCTTCTTCACCACTGTACCCTAAGGATCTTTTCATCTGTCCTGTAGCTACTTCTGCCCCATAAGAATTGGAGCTCACTGAGTTCAGGGACTGTCTCACTTTTCTACCTGCCTGTATTCTCAATACTTAGCACAGGACTTGGCCTCTAGTAAGTACTTAATAAACGATTGTTCATTCATTCATTCAACAGGCATCAGGTGGGACCAGGGACTTGCCATAGCTCATATCCCCTCCTTTCCTTGTTTTAGAATTGATCATCAAATTAATATTACCATTACTACTGTGAAATAGATTGATTAGTCTGTTGCAGAGGCCATGGTAGTATCCAACCCTGTGATTTTGAGTTGTGGGCTGCCTAGGCAGAATCTCCCTTCCCTGACAATCATTTACTCTGTCCACTGGTACCCATCCATGTCAGCCCCATCCCTTCGGGGTCTGGGTCCCAGTCTACCCTACCCTTCTGTTGTGCCCCCTGGAACACCTGTTCGATTGTTAACAAACTGCTCTTCATGCTAGACTTGTGCCGACTTCCTCCCCACACCAAATTATTTTGTATATAGTTTTCTATGTGCATATTGTCCCCCCCCAATAGAATATAAGCCCCTTTAGGGTAGGGATTGTTTCATCTTTGTATCCCCAGTGCAGTGTCTGGCACACAGTAACTGATCAAATAAATGTTTGTCAAATTGTTGTTGAATTCCCATTTTACAGGTGAAGAAACTGAGAGATCAAGAGAGCTTAAATTACTTTCCCATGGTTACTTAGTATCAGAAGCAGGATTTGAAACCAGGTCTTCCTGACTTCTAAGTTTAGTATTCTAACCACTATCCAGGCTGCCTCTTAAATTAAACATGTAAGTTGGTACAATAAATAAGCAAACATACTTTCTTCTTGCTACTTTTACTGGCTCTCAGGAAGTATAGGGGGAAGGAGAGTTAATCCTGCTGTAGTTTTTTCCAGTACTCTTGCTAGGTTACCTCACTGTGTGTTTCAATAAATAACAATAAATTTTTTTTTAAAAAGGAAATTGTCAACTATGAATGAGGTTGGTTATGAATGAAAAAGTGAAATTCCAAATGTGGGAGGATCAGAAGGGCAGCAAGAGGATTTCCTATCTATCTGGGGCAGTTGTGTGCACATTCTAGGTGATAGTTCTAGATCCACATAGAACCCAGGAACCTAAAGAAGAACAAATTGTTCCCAGTTAGAATCTAAGCTCCCAGAGCTGTGCTGGCAAATGCTTAACTACTGGCTCTGGGGAGTGGAGTAGGGAAGGGAGATGTACTCAAGGCACTTTTAAGCTTAGTGTTCATTGTCAGCATTTTCTCTATCACTTTTATCAAGCCTGGACAATCAACAAAACAATGAATTGAACTCTGATTCGACTCATTTGCAGATTTGGGAGTTCTAAATGCTCCCCCTGAAGATTTAACAAAGCCTGTGCATAGTGGCTCCAGCAGACCTTTGTAAAGTGCCCATTCGAATCGAAGCTTCTATTAAAACATAAGTTCCTTGAGAGCATGAAATATTTCATTTTTTATACTTGTAACCTTCTTTCTGCTCCAGGCATTTTCTCTGATTGTCCTACATGCCTGGGATGTTCTTCCTTCTCTGCTCTGACCATTGACCTCCCTGGCTTCCTTTAAGTCCCAGCTAAAGTTCCACCTTTTACAGGAAAGCCTTCCCCAAACTCTCTTAATTCCAGTGCCTTCTCTCTATTAATTATTTCCTATTTATCTTGCATATAGCTTGTTTCATATAGATTTGTTTGCATGCTAACCCTCATTAGATTGTAAAGTCCTTGAGGGCAGGGACTGTCTTTTGTCTCTTTTTGTATCCCCAGTGCATAGTGTGATGCCTGGCACCTAGCTGATGTTTAATAAATGTTTATTGATTGATTGTCTCCCCAGGGCCCTGGCACAGTGCCTGTAATATAGTAGACGCTTAATAAATACTGGTGGATTGAGAGGGAGACTGCAGCCCTTAAGGAAAAGCGGTCCCTCCTCTCCCTACCCAGGGTACTGACTCTACACGCTACCTGGTAGGTAGTGTGGGGATAACACCACTTGGTGGCTAAAATTATATACTACTCTAGAGTGTAGAAAGCAGAAAAATGAACCAGGTGTGGGTGGGTACAGCTATGGCACCACCAAAAAACATGCACTTGGCTTCTTTTATGCTACTTGTCACATGACAATTTTTCAAATGGACTTAGATCCTGCTGTGATGTGATGCCATCACACTGGCCTCAATGTACCTGCTTGCCCAGAGCCCTTCAAACATTTATCACTTTCTTTTTTTAATCCTCTTTGTCACTGTGATAGATGTGAGATGGAAACTTGGAATTGCTTTAATTTGCCTTTCTCTAATTAGTAGTCATTTTGAGCATTCTTTCATAGAGCTGTATAGGTAGCCTGGCTTTCTCCCTTGAGAGCTACCTCTTCCAGGTGATCATTATTCCTCTGCTTGAATACTTTCAGTGACGGGGACCTTGATACCTAGCCATGCAGTCAATTCCATTTTTAGTCAGTTCTAACTGTTAGAAAGCATTTCTTTATATTGAGTTTTCCTCCCTGTAAGTTCTATTTATTGTTCATAGCCCTTTCTTTGAGTGTTACTTAGAATAACTTTAACTTTAGAATTTGCCTCAGATAGCTAGGTGGCCTAAAGGATATTGAGCTGGGCCTGAAGTCACAAAGACACATCTTCCTGAATTCAAATCTGGTCTCAGACACTCACTAGCTGTGTGATCCTGGAAAGTCACTTAAACCTGTTTGCCTCAGTTTCCTCAGATGGGGGAAGGAAATGGCAAACCACTCTATTATCTTTGCCAAGAAAACCTCAAATGGGGTCATGAGTCAGACTGAAAAGACTGAACAAAAAGCACTTCACCTCTCCTCTCTTGTTATCCCCAGTTCTGCCAACTAACAAATGATTTATTCAATAAACATTTATTAAGTACTTACCATATATGTCACTGTGCTAGGGATTAAGTATACAACTAAGAAAAATGATTTACAGTCCCGTAGGGAGGATAAGACATGTACAAAAAATAACCAACAGCTTAAAATGTGAAAAGTGCATAAGAAAGGTTCAATGGAGAGAGATACTTGTGGAGGGGGGGATAATTTCTATCAGGGTGGACCTGGCAGAGCTTCATTGGAGTATGACTAATTCTGCATATGACTTGTTTCCATATACCCTAACTCATGAATGCTCTCCAGTGTGTTAGTGGGCTTACTAAACCATGGAGCTCGGACAATCTTCTCTATGCAGTCCACTTAGGGCAGAAGACGGTAGAACTGCTCTTTCCATTGTTCTGCACTAGTAAGGTCACAGGGCTGGCATTGAGGTTTAGGAATTATTATTAAGAGGATAAGACCCCAACAGAGACAACTATAGCACAAGAATCTACCTCGGATGAGAGTACATTAGAAAGGTGCAGTTTTAGTGAAGTTCCAGTGGCAGTGGGGGCCAACCAGGAGAAATTAAGTTTGGCTTCATTCATCAGGTGAAGATGGGGTCTGTGCCATGTTAGTTTTAGAACCAGAAAGGACGTTGGAAATCAACTAGTCCGACTGTGTCTTTTTATCTTGTATATACAGATTTTTATATGCTGTCCTTTTGTTAGAATAGAAGCTTCTTGAGGGCAGGCACCGTTTTTGCCTTTTCTTTGTATCTCCAGAGTGCACAGTGCCTGGTACGTAGTAAGAGCTTAATAAATGCTTGTTGATTTTGACTGACTTTTTTTGTTTGAGTCTATGGCTGAAACAAACAAGATTAAGAACGTTTGCTTCAGAAAAACTTCACCCACAGGTTTTTCCAGGCTCCGCTTGGGTACTACTTGGGGCTACTTTAAGCAGCGGGCCCTCTGATTGGCTGGAAGCGGCCCCGCTAGCTGGACTCTCATTGGCTTAAGCGCGGGGCGGAAGAAGGCGGGGCTGGGAACCAAGGGAACCGCGGTAGATAACGGGCGTCCCACGTGGGTAACGGGCGCCACGTGCAGGGGCCGCGCAGCGAGGTGAAGAGCTGGGAGGAGGAGGAGGAGGAGGAGGAGGAGGAGAAGCGGGGTGCGGGAGAATCGCAGAACCCCGAGGCTTCTCCTCCTGCGCCGCAGCTTCTCCGTCGCCCCTTCTCCGTGGAGAAGCCCCTTCCCCTTGGAAAGCTGGCGGGATTCCTCCAGAGGGGCCCCCCCCACCCCGAAGCCTGGAGTCCTGCGAGGAGCCCGAGCTCGGAGGCGGGAGACTTGCTTCGGAGCCCCCGCGATTCCGGCCCGGTCGCTTAAGCCGCGTGCCCTTGGCCAAGCCCCTCACCTGCCCCGGGCCTCAGCTTCCTCGTTCATAAAAATGACAAAGACCAGACAAGAGGGCCCCAGAGTTTCCCTTCCAGCTCCCTCTGGGTACCTCAGTTTCCTTGCCTGGAAAATGGGAATTTGAGTCCTCTGACCCCTGGGCAGGTTCCTTCACCTCTGCCTGCCTCAATTTTCTCATCTGTAAAATGAGGCTAGCTCCCAGGGTGGTTGTGAGGATCCAATGTAGAAGTGCTTTAGAAGGCGCTATGGAAACGCCACCATTACGGTTGGGTGTGGGCTGTGCTCATCTTGTGCTTGTCTCTCCTCCCTCCCCATTCCTCGGCAGCTGCCCTCCCAGCATGGATGAGGCCACCCGCAGGAAGCCCCGTCTGGCAGCCTCTCTGCAGATGTCCCCTGGCCCCAGCGAGGGGCCTATTCCCTGGAGACCCTTGGAAGGCTCTGCCCAGGCTTCCTCCGAGGCTCAACCTTCCCAGGCGGAGCCCCTGAGGGGAGAAGAGAAGAAGAAGCAGCTGGGGGCTGAGGCAGCTGGGGATGGTAGGGCAGAGCCCTTGGGATTTGGAGGGTGGGTGCTGGGAATGGGAGCAGGGGCAGGAATCAGGTTGGAGCAATTGAGGATGTTTACTCTGGAATAAGGGGAATGGGAGAGTAGTTTTCAGGCAGTTAGCCGAGTGGTTAGAGCAGTGGACCTGGAGGCATGAAGACCTGAGTTCAAATGTGGCTTGCTAACACCTGCCTGCCTCACTTTACTCATCTGTAAGAATGGGGATAATAATAGCACCTCCTTCCCAGGGTTATTGTAAGGATCAAATGAGATCATGTTTGTAAAGGGCTTTGCAAACCTTGAGGTGCTTTATGCATGTTAGCTATCATTACTAAGTCTTTGAAAGGTAGTCATATGGAGGAGGGAGTAGACTTTTTCTTGACTCTTCCTTTGAATGAATGAGAAATCATTTATTAAGCTATTATTATGTGCCAAGCACTGGACTGAGGGACTAGGGTTACAGATAACAAAGGGAAGACGGTCCTTACCTTTGTGGAGCTTATAGTCTAATGGGGAAGGCAACACATAGGTACACAGACCCTCTGTATTGTTACTGTTCTCATCGCTAGTCACTCTCCGGTGAATTTTCAACGTGTTTCCCCCATATAAGATAGTTAACATTTTCTCAAGTTGAATCTTAAGTCTTTGTTTTGTTTGTTTGATTGTGTTTCCTGTTACTTTATCACTCTCTCCCTATCTTTGTCTTTGTTGGGTGTTTGGGACTGTCCGAGCAGCATGTTCGCGGAGGGCCATTTTGGTTTGGAGAGTGACAGGGGTGATTGTGGAGTTGCAAGGGAGTAGACTGGTGTGCCCCTTCTGGAAGTAATCGGTGTTAGTTGCAGAGAGAGAGATTTTGGCTCCATGTCAAGATGAATGACCGGCCAGCCTTGTTCAGAGGTGGAATGGGGTGCCTTGGAAGGCGGTGGGTTCTCTCCCACTGAGGGGCTTTGGAGAGGAGGGTAGATGACTTCTCATTGGAATGAGGTAGAGGAAAGGCCGATTTTGTCATGGGTCCAGCTAGATGACTTTTGGGGTCCCTTCCAAATCTGTTCTTCATTGGAGGCAGGTGGGAGTTGGGGAGAGATTATGAAGGTCAGTGAAGTCCCTTGGTATGAGGGAGGTAATGGGTAGTGGAAAGAGCACTGGGGTGGGAGTTGAGGCCTTTGACTTCTAGTCCCGGCTCAGCCACTCACTAGCCGTGTGACCCTGGCTGTCACTTAGCCTCCCTTGGCCCCGGTTTCCTATTCTGATCAAGCAAGAAGTTGTACTAAATGATCTCTCAGGCCACTTGAGGTTTCCATTTTAACAGTCTGTGATTTACTGTGCTCTCCTCACTCCTCTTAGGGCCGCTTCCAGATCCTCCTGCTGTGCTGAGGGAGCTGATCCTAGGGCACAAAGACCCCCCTCCAGGCCAGGCCTTGAGCCTCCTCACTCGCTACTCCCAGGGCATGGGCCTTACTCTGCGCTTTGTGGAGAGTGAGGTCCAGGGTAAGTGAGGGAGGAGGGGCATGGGTCACTGTGTACTGAGCATTGGGATGGGGTACAGGAGGACAGGTAGAGAGGTATAAAGCCAGACCTGTGACCCTGGGGACCCTGCGCTCTGGTTGGTGAGATGGGAACCAACGTGCATATCACTCTGGTCACGCTGCCATGTGTGTGAGATTAGGCAAATTGTTCCACTACTCTACAAATTAGTTTCCCCCCTTTTTTTTTAAATTAAATTTTACTTTTTTCTATTAATAAGTGTTTTTTCCTCCACGTTGATAAAAGGAAATCAAACCCCTTATAACAAATGTGCGCAGTTGGGCAAAACGCTGCTACCTGATCCATGTTTCTCATTCTGCATGTGGAGTCCATCCTTTCTCTGTCTCCATCTTTCTTTCTTCTTTATCCTGAGTCCTCTGGAATTATGCTTGGGGGTTGTGTTGATGGGAGTTGTCAAGTCCTTCAAAGCTATTCGTTTTTACGGTGTTGTCGTCATCACTGTATCAGTTGTTCTCCTGGTTCTGCTTCCTTCCTTGAGCATCAGTTCACACAAGTTTTCCCAGGTTTCTCTGAAACTTTGTTATTTCTTTTGGCGCAATAGTATTTTAGTCATAGGCCATAATTTCTTCAACAATTCTGGAACTATGTTTGGAACTGTGCCCCAAACGTTACTAAAGTGGGCATACCCTCGAACCCAGTGTTATCATTACTAGACTATCACCCAAAAGAGAGCAAAGAAAGGAAAAGAACCTCTATGTATAAAAATATTTATAGCAGCTCTTCTTTGTGGCAAAGAACTGTAAACTAAAGGGTACCCACCTATCTGTTTCTTCTTTTTTCAAATGAGGGGAGAATTAGATTAGGAAGTCTCATAAGATCCTCTCATAGAATCCATAAATGTTAAAATGTGATTTTGATTTTTCATGTAGTAGCTATTTAGAGGGAGGTCTGAGGGGCTTGGGAGGGAGCTGGGGGGCTGTGGAGACTCCTCTTCCTGACTCTAAAATCCCTGTCCTCCCTTCAGTCCCCTTCCGACACTTCTCTGTCTGTGCTGTGCTGGGTGAGGTGTCCTGTCCTGAGGGCACCGGGAGCAGCAAGAAGGAGGCAAAGGGGCAGGCAGCCATCCTTGCTCTCAACTGGGTCAGGACCCAGCTAGAGAACCCAGGTACTCCTCCCTCGGGAGGGGAAGGGCAGCTGTTTCCCCCACATAGGAAGGCTGGTGCTGCTCTGCTGCTGACTGCTCTTGTGACCTTGGGCACATCACAGCTCCTTTCAGGGTCTCGGTTTTCTGATTTGTAAAATGAGAGGGGCATGTTAGTCTAAGGTCTAAGGACCCTTTCAACTCAAGTGTCTGTGAGGTTAGACTGCCAGCAGGCTGTCCCCTAATCGAGATGGTAGAGGTGAGGCCCAGGCCTGTGGGAGGAGAGGTGACTATCTGCCCGCCCCCTGTCTTCCCGAAGCCCAGTCATGGTGTGTGTGTGCGGACTGGGCAGTGGGCTTCCTGGGTTATCAGGCCATCCCAACTCGTCCCCCTCAGCTGCCCCCTCTCATCTTTGGGGAGAGGAGCAGAGCCTTGTGTCCCAGGTAGCCCAAAAGAGAGATCCTGCAGCTCCTCTTTTTTCTTTTGCAGCACCGTTCAAAGATCCTCCCAGCTTTCCGCTCTGTTCTTTAACTGCTGGTGAGCCTCCCCTCCTCACTCCCTTCTGCTCCTCCCCAGATGAGTCAGAGTGACCCACGGTCCTCCGCCTTCTTTGGAGACCTCTAGTGAGGTGGACGCCTTCCCTTCCCAGACAGCCCAGCCTGCTGGGAGTTGGCACTTAGACCCATTCTTCTAGTTCTGCTTGGTCCCAGAAGCCAGCCCAAATTCCCCAAAGTGTACTGGATGAAGAAAGGAGCCTAGAGTCAGCACTGGGGATGGGGTGGAGGGATCGAGGGTCCTTCCTCTCCTCTCCTGCCCCCAGTGATATTCCTGCCCTTCCTTTAGAGAACATTCTGACCCATGAGCAGCGTTGTGCGGCTGTGGTGAGCTCTGGGTTTGACCGCCTGATAGGTGAAAACTCCCCTTACCAGGGCTGCAAGCGAAGTATAGCAGCTGTCATCCTTGAAAGGGGTATGGAAGCCTGAGACTTTGCTCCCCAGAACCCCCCCATCTTCCATGGCCCCACCTCGTCCTTTGGGAGGGGGCAGGGAGTCCGTAGAATCTCTTCCCCTCCTGGTTTTCCTTTCCTTCCTCCCTCCTAGGTCTCATCTCATGATATCCTCCAAGTCGTCCTTTCCTGTTTCTCTCCCCAGCATCCCCTCCCCTTCCTTCAGGAGTCTTTTCCAGACCTCCTCCCCACCAGCCCCTCCTCCCCCTGTTCTTCCCACAGAGGTCCCAGATGACAGGGGCAGCTGTAGGGAGTCCTACGAGCTGGTTGCTCTGGGTACGGGTTCCGGCGGCTATAGGGGCTGGATTGAATTCATGGGCCGAAGACTCCACGACACTCACGGCTTGGTCATTGCCCGCCGTGCCTTGGTCAGGTGAGGGGTAAAGAGAGGACGGTTGGATTCTGAGCCCGTGGTGGGGCCGCTGATCATGAGATACCTACCCACCTGTCGTCTTCTCCATCTTTCTCAGGTTCCTGTTTCGGCAGCTCCTGCTGGTGGCTAGTGGGGGCCCAGAGGGGGCAGAACGATCAGTGCTGACCCCTCGACCAGGCCCTGGACCCCCTTTTGCCCTCAAGCCCAAAATCTTCTTACACTTATACCTCAGCGACACCCCTGAGGGTGCTGCACATGACATATAGTAGGCAGGATGTTTGGATTTGGGGGTCTCTGAATGGAGCGGGGAGGGAATGGTCAGGATGGGGAGGGAGGACAGAACAAAGAGATCTGAAGACCTGCTGTTCTGCTGCCGTCACCTCCCTGATCTCGCCTCTCCTCTCCCCCTTCCAGCCTCCCTTCCCCAGGGGGCTCTCTCCATAGTCCCTCTCTTCGTCTTCAAGCCCATGCCCGGGGAGAGCTGCGGCCAGTCTGTTACCTCGCCCCGGGGTTCCGGGCAGCCAGGGTCTGTTCGCTGTCAGCCAGTGACAAGGTGGCTCGATGGGCGGTGCTGGGGCTGGGAGGGGGCCTGCTGGCCCACTTCCTGCCCCCACTCTATGCAACCAGCCTCATCCTTGGTGAGAGGCCCAGGATGGGTGGCTGGGAGGGAGGAGCGTAGAGAGGGGGTGGAAGGACAGTTCACTGCCCCTCAAAGTCTCAATTTCCTCGTTTGTATAGTGAGGGGTTGGACTGGATAATCTTGATAACTCTTAAGTTTCATGGGATGGGGGCAGTCTGGAGAGGTGGGTAGGTTATGTTTTGTGAAGGAGAGATGACCCTCATTCCCTCAGACTTCTGTTTTTCCCTCACAGCTGACTCCTGCCATGATCCCTCAACTCTGAGTCGGGTCATCCATGACCGGCCCTGCCTAGAGGGAGGGCCAGGCCTGCCGCCTCCCTATGCCCGGAATCCCCTGCACCTGTTTCTGGGACCACCTGTGGCTCCCCAGGACTCCGCACCCTCCAACTGCCAGGGCCTCAGCCTCAACTGGAGCCTGGGAGACACCCGCATGGAAGTTGTGGACACAAACACGGGATGCGTGTGGTCAGAGTAAGGCCAGCTGTTGTAGGGGAGGGGGGAGATGTAGAGATGGTAGAAAGTGTGGGGGCGGGGCCAAAGATGGGGAGGAGACGGAAATAGAATACCAGCAGAGCTGGTAACTTTGCTGGGGCCTGACGGTGGCACTGGAGGTGCCTTGGAGGGCACAGCTTCTTCTTTCCCCACCCAGAGGCTCCCTTGGTCCTCCCTCCCGCCTCTGCAAGGCTGCTCTCCTCCGCGCTTTCCGCCAAGCAGCCCAAGCCCTGGGAAGATTGGATCTCTTGGCTCTGGACACATATGAGGTGGCCAAGGTCAGTGATCACACTTTCCATTTAGCTCGTTTGTATTGTGCCTTCCACCAGGAGTGAGGCCTTGTCTTGAACTCCTCTCCCTTGCCCTGCTTCGAGACTCAGGACCATCTCTCCTTTGCAGGCAGGGACATACCGTGCTGCTCGTCAGGAGTTGACCACTTACCTGGAACAGCAGGACTTGGGCTCTTGGCCCTCCAAGCCTCTGGTGGGTGGGTTCTGTCACTGAGCACAGGCATCTGGGCTGTGTCCTGTGTCCTTCCCACAGGGAAGCCTTGGGTGTGTGTGTTGGGGCTGGGGGAGGGGGGCTGTGGCAGTGATTAAAAAGTGCCCAGGCATTAAGGGACTGGGCTGGGCACCATATAGGGAAGAGGATCTGTATTTTGGTAGTGAGGTGGTTTCATTTGAGACTGCCGATTGGAAGCTATGTGCTTTATGATTTGTCCTTAATAAATTCTTTGTTCTCTATGCCGTCTTGGTTGGAAATAATGTTCTCTATCTTTTGACTCTCACAATACCCTCGTGAGATCAGGGCGGGGGTAGTAGGAAGTATTATCCCTATTTCATGGATGAAGGAGTGGAAGTTCAGAAGTTGAATGCCTTGCGTTGTCTTCCTGCTGAAATGTGGGGAAGATGATTCACCTGGCTTGGAAAAGGTCCAGAAAGCACTCAGCCCATAGGCCAGTGCCAAAGGGAAACTTGGTATTCCCAAATTTTTGGTGGAAAATATTAGCAACCCCAAGGCAGGTCTGGGGAATCTTGAGATGGAAAATGATTCTCAGCACTGTCAGTAAGGGAACGGCTTTGTGCAGTGTTATCCCCAGGACCTGTTTGAACCGTCAGTGATGGTGATGATTCTGTGCAGGGTTCAGAATCACGAATTCAGGACTGACTGCTTGTTTATGTCAGCAAGCATAGTACACTATACAATATTATTGTTCTTGTAGGTTTCTGTAAACTATTTTCTAACCCTCATAGATTATTAACATATACTGCTAGGTAGTGACAAAAAGCAGGGATTCAGAGTCAGATCTTCTGGCTCCAATTGCAGTCCTCTTTACACTTTACAGACTTCTCAGGAGTAAGTCCTGGCCCCCTCCTCTCCGGGCCTGGCCCTCCTCTGTTCCTGGCCTCTCCCCTACCGCTTTTCCTGGATACCGATTCTCTGACCAGTCAAATCCTCCCCTCCACCCCCTCCCCAGTGAGTAGTTCCTGGGCATTGGAGAATATTGAGAGCATCTGAAAAGTTGGTGCCATCTCTGCCACAGGGGGCCCTGAGAGCATCTGGCCAGGACTCCGGACAGCTCCCAGCTCGTTGCCTTCAGGCAGTTAGCTCAAGAGTTCTCCCGGACTGTCAGCTTCCGTGATTTGATCAGTGAAATTAAATAGGGATCTTGGCGGCCATGGAAGGAAAACTCTCCTTCACTGCATCCTGCCATGTCAGCTAGCTGTTGTCCGATAGTGTCCGCCACTAACTTTGGAAGAGTTGTCGACGTTTGGTGTCTCTGCTTTCCTCTCTCTTGTAAACCCTCTGTGTCTGGCTTCTGGCCTCATTTATTGCTTTTCAGTCATCTCTGCCTTGTCCAACTCTTTGTAACCCCATTTGGGGTTTTTTTTTGGCAAAGATACTGAAGTGCTTTGCCAATTCCTTCTCCAGCTCATTTGACAGATGAGGAAATTGAGGCAAACAGAGTGAAGTGACTTGCTCAGGGTCATCTAGCTAGCAATGTCTGAAGCCAGATTTGAACTGGAAAAGATGAGTCTTCTGACTTCAGACCTGGAACTCTCTGCACTGCACCTTGTGACACCCCAGACAGGCTCCTCTCCCCCAGCATAGCCAACCAGGTGCCAAGTCTTCTTCTCTGGACGTAGTCTGTCGTGACCATCCCTTCTCACCACCCCCACAGCCACCACTTGAGCAGGCCGCAGCCTGATTATTTTCCTTGCCTTAAGTCTCATCCTCGACACAGCCCAGTCACAATCAAAGTGACTTTCCTAAAGGGCATTTCTGACCATTTTGCCCTTTTGGCCTGGTTGTCCTTCGTGCCTTCTTGAGGGCAGGGACTGTCTTGTTTATATACCCGTGCTGGCATGGTAGCAGCACTTAATAAATGTTGATTGACTACTGACTACGTGTCTTGCATATGCTGATTTATGTATATATTGTCTTCCTCCTTAGAACTTAAGCTCCTTGAGGGCTAGAACTGTTTTTTACATTTTCCAAGGTCCTCAGACCTTAGCATAGCACCGGCACTTAGTAAGCACTTTAAAAAGTGCCTATTAATGAAGACTTGAGTTCGAATCCTGCCTCAAATACACTTCGATGTGTGACCCTAGGTAAGTCACTCTTCTGTAGACCTCAATTTCTCTTCATCTGTGAAAAACAGGGGTTTGGATTTGATGGCCTCTAAGGTCTCTTCCCCTTAGGGGCAGTTAAATGGCTCAGTTGGTAGAGCGCTGGGCCTGGAGTCAGCAAGACCCGAATACAAGTCCACTCTTAGACACTTACTAGCTATGTGATCCTGAGCAAGTCACTTAACCTCTGTTTGCCTTCATCTACTGGAGAGGGAAATGGCAAACCACTCCAGGAAACCCTCATGGACAATATTGGTGTACTGTGGTCCACAGGGTCTAAGATATGACTGAACAACAAGAAAAGAGGGTATCTTCCAGCTCTAAATCTATGATTCAAGTGTCCTCATTGTATTCTCCTAAGCAGGGGTTCTTAACTCGGTCCATGAACCCCTAAGGGGTCCATGAACTTGCCTCAGAAAAATTTATCGAGTTTTATTTCAGTGTAATTGGTTTCTTTTGCGGTCCTATCTATTTTACTTTATATATTTAAAAAACATTATTCTGAGAAGGGGTCCATAGGCCTCACTAGGCTAAGGGGTCCATGACATAAAAAGCGATTAAGACCCTGTCCTATAGGATGTGAATAGTAGTATCAAGTGCCTCAGATCCCTGTGATTCAATTCAACACACGTTTACTATATTCACTCGAAGCTCAGTTGGAATGCGACCTCCCTGTCCTCAGTCGCTCGTGCCTCCCTTCCAGATTTTCTTGCGTTGAAATGTCTATATATGTATCTACATATTCTGCGTATGTGTATATATGTCCTCGTGCTATCTCTCTCTAAAGAATGTAAGCTCCTTGAAGGCAGGGGCCATTTCATTTTTGTCTTTGTATTGACAGAACTTAAGAGAGATAGTATGGTATAGCAACCTATAGAGACCTATGCTTAGAGCCAGGGAGACCGAGTTTAAGCCCTGTTTCTGACACTGGCTTTTGGATTGTGGTCCAGTCACTTATCCCCTCAGTAATGTGGGCAATTCTATAAGTCGCAGAGAAGGTGTGGACCTGCATCGGTAAGGGGAGTTTCCTCAGCGGAGATTTCCCTATACCGGTGGAATCAAAGGATCTGTCCCCATCCCAAGCACCTAGTACAATCTTTGGCACATAAGACATGCTTAATAAACATTTGTTGATCAGTTGATTGCCTATGAGAGATGGAAGACACAGCCTAGCCTCAGGGTGTAGTAGATGGTGTAGTTATTGTGTGATATTTAATTCAGATTTAGAAAGTGGGGGCCATAAATGGAAATTACATGAGATTCTAATCTTTAGAAAGTTTAAAATCTATGTTGTCCTCTTCTTTCCCCACAAACATACTGACAAATAATAATAACTGACATTTATGTAGCACTTTAGATTTTGCAACACCTTTGACAGATTTCATTTGGGGCTCAAAACAACTTTGTGAGCTGAGTACTACAGTAATTACCATCTCCATCTTGCAAATAAAGTCAGTAAAATGAAGCTTGGTTAAATGATTTGTCCATGATTACATGGCTAGCAAGTATCAGAGTCAGGCTTCATTCATTTAGCAACTAGTATCCTGGACTCAAAGATGGCAGTAGGATAAGATGGGAAGAACAATGGATCAGGAGGCCAAAGGCCAGGATTCTAGTTCCTGCTGTGCCACTATTTAGCTTTGTGACCTTGGGTAAGTTGTTTCCCTGCTCTGGGCCTTGGTTTCCCCATTTACAAAATGAGGAGGTTGAATCTCTAAGGTTCCATGATGTGGCAGGAATGAAAACAGGTCTTCTACTTCGCACTCTGGTGTCCTTTCCTCCTATTTCACACTGCCATCACTGTGGTCAGGTTTTGGGTTAGTGTTGCTAAAAAACATTTTCCATCTATCCAGTGACTGACTGCATTCTGTCGTGGCAGGACACAGACAACCAAAGCTCTCCTGATTCCATTTGCTCTTACACCCTAATGAGTGTCTCAAATAAATAAGACAGGTGTTCAAGCCGTTTTTTAGTCCGAGGCTTAAAAACTAATGCCTGGATTATTTCCCTCTGCTCTAGCCCTTGTTTTCTCCTGGGGGCAGACTGTGTATCTCCATTATGGGAGCTCGGGATGAGACTCCATTTAGTTGTGAAACAGGAGAGATTTCAGTTAGAGATCAGCAAAGGAGGAAAGGCTGAGGGACTATTAATTGTCCTTCGTCCTCCTCTTCCTATTACAAAGATCCCCTTCTTATTTTTTGCAGGTGTCAACTTGTGATGTGTGATGCTCCTGGGGAAAGAGGTGGTGATGACTTGGAATTATTACTTCAATTTCCAAAGGCCTAATTTTGGGAAACAGTTCAAGTTAGAAGTAGAACAGCCTGTGTTTCCTCCACGAGGCAAAATGTTCTAGCTGATGATGCTGTTGTTGGGGGCATTAGTATTTACAAAGACATGGTGGGAGGGAGGAGCGAGTCACATCTTCTAGCCAGCCAATTCACCTGTCTAGGCATCCATTTCACCACATTAAAAAAAAAAAGTCCTTGTACCTCTCCTAGCACTTCATGAGTGATCCAGATATCTTTGGAGTTTGTTTCAGCTGATATAAAATGAGATGGTCGGACTAAGAGATTAAGCTTGATATGACAAAAAAACAAGAAATGTGGGAAGGAAGGCCTTTGTGACTCTCAACACTGCAAAATGCGGTGATTAATTCACATCTTTAAATTCCTTTCCAACTGTAAAAACCTTATCCTTTGATTTCTAAAACCTTTTTTTCTAACAGACTTTGTGCTATGTACCTAATTTTGTGGGGTATAGAAATGACATGGTTCTTGCTCTTACGGAGTTTGCCGTCAAGTAAGGAAAGAAAACACTAATATGTCAAACAACTTAAAACAGTTAAGTGCTAACCTATAACAACAAATGCACCAT